ATGCTGGGTGTGCACAGTGGTCCTTGGGCCCCTTGGATTTCTCCTTTTGGTGGGTGTGGGTGGGCGCCATATGTGGAGCCGCCTGGCCAACCTCCCTCCCTCCCCCTCCCCCACAGCCCCCTGCTCCCAAGGAGCTTCCCTGCTCCAGCGAGGACAGCCGGGAGAACCTGCTGCACCAGGCCATGCAGAACTCTGGCATTGTCCTTGAGCGGGTCACTGGGGAGGAGGGGCCCCTGGAACCAGTCCCTCCCGCTGCATCCAGTGCCCAGCCCCTAGGAGATGGTCCCCCAGAACTGCCGCTGCTGGAGGTGGAGCAGGTGGAGACAGTAGGTACCTGTGCTGCCAGTGTGCTCACTCCTGGGGGCCGCACCGTAGAGGAAGCTACTCACTACCCTGGCCTGGCCGCCAGCCTCCTTGCTGTGCTCCCTGCTGTCACTTTCTGCAGTGACTTTGTCCCCTGAGCTGCTTACCCCTGAGCCCATTGAGCCTGTCAGGGTGGGGGTGCTACGGGTCTGTCTGTGGGGCCCAGCCGGCAGTGGATGCTGGAAATATGCTGTGGTCCCCCAGCAGGTGGCCCATGAAGCCTCAGCGGTATCCAGGACCCACCTGTGCCCTCAGTGCAGTGAAACCTTCCCGACAGCTGCCACCCTAGAGGCCCACAAAAGGAGCCACGCAGGTGGGTGGCGAGTGGGGCACTGTGAGTGGCCAGGGTGGTCCCTTGGGCAATGGTGGTCAGGGTGGCCTGTGGGCAGGCAGCAGGCGGTTGGGAGGGCCCTTGGGGATGGGACGTGGCCTGACATTGCCTGTGGCCCCAGGGCCGAAGCTGTTCACATGTGTGCAGTGTGGCAAGGCCTTCCCCAAGGCCTACCTGCTCAAGAAGCACCAGGAGGTCCACGTGCATGAGCGCCGCTTCCGCTGTGGGGACTGTGGGAAGCTCTACAAAACCATTGCTCACGTGCGCGGCCACCGGCGTGTCCATTCGGATGAGCGGCCCTACCCTTGTCCTGAGTGTGGCAAGCGCTACAAGACCAAGGTGGGCCCTCCAGCCCTGACTTCTGACCCCCCCGCCCATGAGCTCCCCACTCTGTGAGCCAGCTCCGTCCCTTGTTTCTGCCCCAGCCCTCCCTTGTTACCCCTCTGCCCAGTGTTGGCTTGGACCCTCCCTGCTGGCCGATGAATCCCCCCCATTCCCCGGCCCTAGAAGTGGATGGGGAAAGCCGGAGTCTTAGGTGTGGACAAGACCAGGTTGATCCTGACAGTGGCCTCCTCAGAATGCCCAGCAGGTACACTTCCGGACACACCTGGAGGAGAAGCCGCACGTGTGCCCATATTGCAGCCGAGGCTTCCGGGAGAAGGGCTCACTGGTGCGGCATGTTCGCCACCACACGGGCGAGAAACCCTTCAAGTGCTACAAGTGTGGCCGTGGCTTTGCCGAGCATGGCACGCTCAACCGGCACCTGCGCACTAAAGGTTCGGGGCGAGTGGGAGGCAGGAGGGGGTGAGGGGCCGCAGGAGGCCAGCCCTGACTGAGCTCCCCACCTCAGGGGGCTGCCTGCTGGAGGTGGAGGAGCTGCTGGTGTCCGAAGAGAGCCCCACAGCAGCTGCCACTGTCCTCGATGAAGACCCGCACACTGTGTTGGTTGAATTCTCATCCGTGGTGGCTGACACCCAGGAGTACATCATTGAGGTGGGTGTCGGGCAGGGCTGGGACGTGGCCCAGGGGAGGCAAGGTTGACCTCTGACCCTCTTTCCAGGCCACCACGGATGATACAGAGACCAGTGAAGCTACAGAGATCATCGAGGGCACCCAGACAGAGGTGAGGGGCTGGGGGAGAGGGAGAAGGGAGGTGTGGTGCCCTCACCCAACCTTGTGAGCTGAGCTGTGAGCCACCCACAGGTGGATAGCCATATCATGAAGGTGGTGCAGCAGATCGTACACCAGGCCAGCGCCGGCCACCAAATCATTGTGCAGAATGTGACCATGGATCAGGAGGCGGAGCTAGGTCCAGAAGCGGCTGCTGCAGACACCATTACCATTGCCACTCCGGAAAGCCTAACAGAGCAGGTGGCCATGACACTGGCTTCAGCCATCAGCGAGGGCACTGTGCTTACTGCCCGTGCGGGTGCAAATGGCACTGAACAGGCTACTGTGACCATGGTTTCATCGGAGGACATTGAGATCCTGGAGCACGCGGGCGAGCTGGTTATTGCCTCGCCAGAGGGCCAGCTCGAGGTGCAGACTGTCATTGTTTAGCGTGGGTGCCTGTAGGGTCCCACTGGGCTGGGCTGGGTCAGGGGCAAGGAACCTGAGCGCCCTCCTGACTCCTACTTGGCCTAGTATGGACAAGACACAAGACACGGCACAGAATCCAGATGTTCAGACATGTGGGGGTGTAAATAGAGTTTTTTGTTGCTTTACAATAAAACATGAAAACCCACCGCTTGTGATATTGCGGCAGTGGCAGCCCGGGCAGGCTCTCCCATGGCAGCACCTGCCTGCCCGGGCCACGCTGTAAACTCATGCCTGGCCACCCCGCCCACTATTCCTGATGGGGCTGGCGACACCGTGGCTGCGTGTGGGTGTCGCTGGCATGTGGACAGGCAGCCATCTGCTGGTGCCCTGCCCACTGGGATCGGTGACCCCAGCTTCCTGAGGCCCGATGTGGTTCCCTGGGGCAATAGACTTAGGCCAGGAGACCAGGAGCCTCTAACAATGTGGAGCAGAAACAGTGGAAGATGTGGAGCTAAGGAGGGGCTTTCCTAAGTGTACTGCCTTAGTTTTCCTGAGGGGATGCTGTTCTAGGAGGGAGATTCTGGATGACCTAGTTTCTGAGGGGTGGGGACAAGAGCAGGCCTGGCTGGCCATCTCCCTCATTCCTCATGAAGATCTTGGGGTGTTGGTAGGGGCTTGAATCCTGATTCTGACAGACTTGGGGGTTGGAACCTCAGGGTGGATCCCCTGTTGCCTTGTCTTCTGGGTTCTCTGTGGGAATGGGAGCCAGGAGTTCTGGCACCAACATTGAGGGGGCGGGACCCAGCACAGCTGGCCCCTCCCTGGACCAGGGCCTCAAATACCTGAGTGTGCCCAGGCAGCAGACAGACCTTTTGCCATACCAAGACCTTGGAGTCTGGTACCACGGACACACTCCCAGCCTGGACCTCAAACCCTTACTTGGGCCCAAATCCTGAGCCTCTGGCACTGCCCTATCCACATCTCAGGTGAGTCGGGCTGGATGGTAATGGGGTGTGTCTGTTTGGGCTTCAGTTTTCCCACGGAGTAGGAGAATGGCCATGAGCCCAGCACACCAACCACCCTGGGGAGAGCGCAGGGGGAGCCTGCCCTTGGTGCTGGCCAGCATCGGTGGCATTCCCTGTCAGGCCCCCACACTGGGGAGGTGAGGGGTGGTTGGGTGTGTCCGACTCCCGGTGGGTGCTCAGGGCTGTGTCTGTCCTCCCAGCCACTACCTCGGAGCAATGGGACGGCCCCGGGCCCTCCTGGCTGCGCTCTGGGCCCTGGGGGCTGCCGGGGCAGCAGCGCTGCGCATTGGAGCCTTCAATATCCAGAGTTTTGGTGACAGCAAAGTGTTGGACTCAGACTGTGCCAGCGTCATCGCACAAGTGAGGCGGGGCCTGGGCTGGGGCTGCTGCCTCTGGGCTCTGCGGGCGAAGCTGCCCTTCGTGACCCGCCCCTACGGTCCCCTCTCCAGATCCTGGCTGGCTATGACATCACGCTCGTGCAGGAGGTGCGAGACCCGGACCTGAGCGCAGTGTCCATGCTCATGGAGCAGATCAACAGGTGTGGCGGGCAGGGCCCAGCGTCGGGAGCTCCGGCCGGCATCCCAGGCCTGGGAGCGGTGCTTTGACTCGGGGCTTGGCCCCTATCTCCGCAGCGTGTCTAGGCACCAGTACAGCTACGTGAGCAGCGAGCCCCTGGGGCGGGATCAGTACAAGGAAATGTACCTGTTCGTTTACAGGTGAGAAGTGGGGTCGCAGCGTGCGGGGTAGGAGGTGGCTGGCTCGGCGCACCCACCCGCCCTTTGCCCCCAGGAAGGACGCGGTGTCGGTGGTAGACACGTACCAGTACCCGGACCCGGAGGACACCTTTAGTCGTGAACCTTTCGTGGTCAAATTTTCAGCCCCCAACTCCGGTGAGGCCCCGCCCCTACTGCAGGCCCCGCCCCTTCCGCAGGCCCCCCCCACCCGACACCCACCCTCTCGTACAGCTGCCAAGGAGCTGGTGCTGGTCCCGCTGCATGCTGCTCCCCACCACGCAGTGGCGGAGATCGATGCTCTCTACGATGTGTACCTGGACATTATTGACAAGTGGGGCACCGACGTAAGCCCCGCGCCCGCACAGCCCTGGGTCCCCGGAGGCAGGCCCTGGGGGCGGCCATAGAGGCGTGGGCTGGCTGACCCTGGTTCCCTGCAGGACATGCTGTTCCTGGGCGACTTCAACGCGGACTGCAGCTACGTGAAGGAGCAGGACTGGCCGTCTATCCGCCTGCGCAGCAGCGAAGTGTTCAAGTGGCTCATCCCGGACAGCGCTGACACTACAGTGGGCAACTCGGACTGCGCCTACGACCGCATTGTTGTCTGTGGTGCTCACCTGCGCAGGAGCCTGAAGCCCCAGTCGGCCACGGTGCACAACTTCCAGGAGGTGTTTGGCCTGGACCAGACTCAGGTGAGGGCGGAGCTCCATGGAGGCGGGTGGGGGTGTCCCCTGGCCGCTCTGCACTGGCAGACAGGAGCCAGCTCTCTTCTGTCCAGGACCAGGCTCAGCCTCAGTGCACCTGGCAGTTCCCTCCTTGCCCTAGTTTCTGAAAAAGGCCCCCACAGGGTCAGCTGTGGTTGAATGGAACAAGTCTGGGAAGGCACAATAGGATGCCTTCACCTCTCCCAGAGGTAGGGTCCTGAGTGTGCCCACACCCCACTTGCAGGCAACAGCAGGGATGAACAGCCCAGGCCTCACTGGCCCGCTCACCTAGACGCAGTGGTTTCTCACAAACCCAGTGGGCTTCATCCTAGGTGGGGGGCCAGTTCTCTGAGGTGAAGCCTCAGGAAGGACAGGCTGGCCAGCATGGCCACTGAGACTTGGCCCCTCTCCCTCCAGGCCCTTGCCATCAGTGACCATTTCCCTGTGGAGGTGACCCTCAAGCCCCACTGACAGCTCGGAGGACTGGCCAGGGCATGCTGCCTGCGGACTGGCTCTGAGGAACAGCTCCACAGGACTCAAGGTGGCTGGCCTGCCCTCAGCAAGGCTGCAGGGCAGGGTGAACTGGGCCTGGACAGGTGGCCATTGACATGTTACTGGAACAGTGAGCCGATCCCATCTGTAAATGGCCTACCACTACCTACCTCACAGGTGTGTGAGGAGCAACCCAGAGCACTGGGTGTGGCTCTGCTCAATAAACAAGAGTGCGCACCTAGGACCACAAACAGGTCAGCTTAGAGGCCGTTGTGTCCTTTCTTAGCTTGTCTTCCTGTGGCACAACCCTTGTCCTGCAGCCCAGCAGGTTCTTTAGGGCAGCGGTCAACAACCTTTTGGACCTCATCCGCAGACCACCGGCTGGCGACTGCTGCTTTAGGGGACAGGCACAGTCTGGCCTGCCCATTTCACATCCTGCTGGAAATCACCACTTCCAGACCACTGTAAATGCAGTGCGGATCAGCACACACACAGGTATAGTGTTGCCTTGCAAGGCCAACCTTCCAGCCCCAATGTTCCTCAACCCCCAGGCACTGGTCTGTATGGAGTCCTGTCCATCACTGCAGGGGGTCAGGTTAAGATCCTCCCCACAGAACTCCAGGTGGTACAGCCCTTCGGTGGTGCCTTCCTGGGTAGGCTCTCCTCACGAGCCCTGGGCTGGGCAAGGAATTGTCAGGACAATGGCCTGTATCCCAGGTAAACCCATCCCCTGAGGATGGGGAGTACACGGCATAACTGACAGGGGCCTGATGAGGTTTCTAGTTTTTGGCAGGATTTGGTAACTGTCCTGAATTGTATGGTGGGAGGAAAAGGCTTTTTGTCAAAAGTTCGAGCAAGTTTTTCTTGACAAGTCTTTTTAAATTAAGATGTAGGACACTTGCAACATAGAATGCCTCTCAAATAATGCCTCCCTTGATCTCTTCAAGTCCCCCTGATTTCTCAGAATTGTCATACATTCCCTCCATCTAAATGAACAAATGTGGTAGCCAAAGGGCTTTTCTCTGGGGGCAAGGCTGGGGGGGGGGGTGGTATCTTGTGTGGATCATCAGGGCCCATGACTCCCTCATGCTTCTACAATCAGGCAGCCCAGAGGCCAGGGATAGGACAACCTGAGAACTTTAGTGACAATTCTTTTTTTTTTGTTGTTAACCCTCAACTGAGGACATTTTTCCCATTAATTTTTAGAGAGTGGAAAGAAGGGGGAGGGGGAGAGAGAAAAACCTCGATGTGTCCCACATTGATCCGTTGCCTTCCATACACGCCAGGGACTGGGAATTGAACCTGTGACCCTTTGGTGTACAGAACAATGCTCTAACCACTGCAACACACCTGCCAGGGCTTCAGTCATATTTCTTTGGGAAAGGAGGCACTCAGCGGTGACACTGCCCAGGTCCAGAATAGGTCCACCTGCCAGTTCATAATTCCCCAATCCAGACACTGCCTGCAAACCCCACCTGCCAGGCAGAAAACGCACTCGTGTGTGGTGGTGGGTCTTCGGCCCTGGCTACAAGGAACAGGGCCTTCTGGGAAGATCAGCAACACAAAGAGCTGGAAGGATTTTTAAATTGGAAAACACCTTGTTTAAGCCCCCGTGGGACCAGAGTGCCCCTGGAAGGGTGCCTAAGCCTACAGCCTATGTGGGCAGCCCCGCAGTTAGCCTTTCCTCTGTTTGAGCTTTTCTAAGTAAATCTGCAAGGACTTCTGAATGGCGTCTCTGGAGACAAAACTGACAAAGTTCTTGATGTCAGCATCGCGCTGTTTCACCAAGCGGTCTACTGTGGGCTTTCGCATCATGTTCTTGGTCAGCTGTCGAGCGTGATCTAAAGATAACAGGGTCCACGTGTGAAAATAATTCCCAACCTTCCTAAGAGAGTTCCAACACAAACTTTAGCAGAACACTCAGAAGTTAAACATTAAGTAAAAAGAAAATGAAATCACCTATGTTCCCACTACCGTTATCTTTTAAAAACATATAGGATGATACTGTAAAAACTGCCTTTTTAGCCAGACCAATGTGGCTCAGTGGTTAAGCTTCAATCCACGAACCAGGTCACAGCACATGTCCCAGTTATGGCCTCAATCCCCAGTACAGTTTGTGCAGGAGACAGCCTATCAATGATTCTTTCTCATCATTGATGTTTCCATGTCTCTCTCCCTCTCCCTTTCTGTCTCTGAAACCAATAAAAAAAATAATAATTTGCATCTTTAGCCTATTTATTTTCACTCAACTATATTATTGAGAACATCTTATTAAAGGTTTCTTTTTTTTTTTTTTTTTAGAGAGGGAGAAGGGAGAGAAACATCAATGTGAGACTGCCTCCTACATGCCCCCAACTGGGGATCAAGCAGGCAACCTGGGCATGTACCCTAACCAGGAATCAAACCAGCAACCTCTTAATGCATGGGATGAAGCCCAACTGAGCCACACCTGCCAGAACTTATCAAGAATATTTTCCAGCCCTAGCTGGTTTGGCTCAGTGGATAGAGCGCCAGCCTGTAGACTGAAGGGTCCCAGGTTCGATTTGGGACAAGGGCACAGGCCGAGGTTGCACGCTTGATCCCATCGTGGGGCTTGTAGGAGGCAGCTGATCAATGATTCTCATCATTGATGTTTCTATCTCTCTCTCCTTCTCCCTTCTCTAAAATCAATAAAAACATATTAAAAAAAAAGAATATTTTTTAAGTCACTCAATATATTTGATCATCCCCATGTCTATGAACTAAGAATGGTTTTTACATTTTTATATAGTACTAGAGGCCCGATGCATGAAATTCGTGAATCCTGGGGGTGGGTGGGTGGGTGGGGTCCCTCAGGCCAGCCTGTGCCCTCTCGCAGTCTGGGACCCCTTGGGAGATGTCCAACCGAGGGCTTAGGCCCACCCCCTATGGCCCACTCCCTTGGTTGGACATCTTTAGCGTTGCTGCAAAGGCAGGAGAGGCTCCCACTACAGCCTCTGCACTCGCTAGCCGAGAGCTGGCTTCTGGCTGAGTGGTGCTCCCCCTGTGGGAGTGCGCAGACCACCAGAGGGCAGCCCATGCATTGAGTGTCTGCCCCCTGGTGGTCAGTGCACATCACAGTGACCAGTTGCTCCACCGTTTGGTCAATTTGCATATTAGCCTTTTATTACATAGTTGAGACCCGAGGCACGAAATTTGTGCAAGAGGCTCGGCCCTCGCAGCCGTGGTGGCCGCCGGAAGGTCGTCCAGAAGGTCGTTTGGCTGTTTGGTCTAATTCACATGTTATGCTTTTATTAGTATAGATTCTTTACCAACTACCCTATGAAAGGACTGTTTATTCCTGTTTTAGAGTTGAAGAAACAGGTTAGAGAGAGAGATTAAATAAGATTATTTGGAAGAGGGTCTTTGCAGATGCAATTAAGATTAGGTCCTTCTAATAGAAAGGAAAGGGAGATGTGGGATAAAGGAGATTATGTGAAGATGAAATCAAAGATTGGAGTGATGGGCCACAAACCAAGGAATGTCGGGAGCCACCAGGAACTGAGAGGAAGAAAGGAGCCTCCCCTAGAATATCTGGAGTGATCGTCGCCCTATTTACAACTTGACTTTGGACTCTGGTCTCCACACTGTGAGAGAATACATTTGTTTTAAGCACAAATGATCCACCTGTGATTATTTGTTATAGTAGCCCCAGGGCACTAAGCCAGTCTGCATGTTCTTGACTTGCACGGTGCACTTTTACCTGAGAACTTTCCGGTCTCACCAGGAGTATCAGGCTGGGGAGGGGAGGGGAAGGGAAGGGAGGGCAGGAGGCTGTGCTTGCTCACCAGTACCCACAGTGGCTGCCCATCCCTGTGCTCCTCACCTGGAATGGCCAGCCACTTGCCCATCACTGAGAGCGCTGTGCTCTGCACCTGGTCCTCAGGCACCACCTTGTCCACTATGCCGACCTGGAGGGCCTCTGCTGGCGGGAAGAGCAACCCCAGCTGCAGAGCACGCTCTGCGGCACGGTGCCCAATGGTGTTCACAAGTGTATCTTTGAACCTGGAATGCAGACACCCACTCACCTGGGGCTGGGGGCTCCCAGGTGGGTTGGTTCATCCCTGGGCCAAGTGGAAAATGGGTGCAGTTCCTGGCCTTACCAGAAAGGGGCGACGATGCCCAGCAGGGTCTCATTCAGCCCAATGGCATATCTGGGATTGTCAGCCAGGACCCGGTAGTCACAGGTAAGGGAGATCAGGCAGCCTCCAGCAGGGCTGGCTCCCTGCAGGGGAAGCAAGACCACAGAGCTCTGGGTGCTGCTATTGCTGGTCCCAATAGTGTTCCAGAGAGCCAGGGTCCCGAGGAATGCCCGCTAGTGGGTGTGAGCTCTCAGTGACCTAACCCCCACCCCTCCCTCCACCAGGCGCAGGCTCTCCGTGCACCTTACTTGGGTTGTCACCACATCTCTTCAGGGCACACCAGTTCTGGAGCCTTAGCTTCAGCACCTTACCTTAGTGGTCTGTCCCTGCCTTCCCCAGGTCAGGCCAAAGTGATGTTTTCAAAATGTGGATCCAATTCCCCACTTGCTCCCCATATAGCTCTTGGATCCTGGGCCCTGCCCCCACCCCACTGAGTTGACCCGTGGCCCCTACCTTGTCTGTCACCATGTCACAGTGATCTGTAATGGCACGCTTACCTGTGCACATCTCTCCCCAAGGCATCCTTCCCCTCTGAGGGCTTCCCGAGGGCAGGGCCACATCTGCCCACCCCCCGTCCCCCAGCCTCCAGGGAGGCAGAAAGGCCAGTGGAGAGTGGAAACACTCACATTGATGGCGGCAATCAGGACCATATTGGACACGTAGAGCCGCAGCCACAGCTCCTGCACAGCCTTCCAGTACTCAGCATAGTGCGCCGGGTTCCTCCCGCACATTTCCCTCAGGTCCAGGCCAGCTGAGAAGACCCCGGGGCTGTCCTGGGTGAGGGAGGGAGCACAGGCCCATTCAGAGTCCACCTTCCAGGTCACTGTGCTCCCAGAGCAGGGGGAGCCCATGGGTGTTCAAGGGGCAGCAAAGCTGAGGTCTTGCTCAGGGTGAGGCAGGACGCTGCCCCACGGAGCCCAAAGCTGGGGCTCGAGGACTCAGCCTCCACCTCCCTCAGGCTCAGTTCCTTCTCTGTCCTGGGAAGTTCTTTCCTTTCCAAATGCAAACTGGAAAAGGCAGAGCAGGCAGGCAGGGTCAGGCATTCCCCCAGGCTCTGTGCAAACCGATGTGGTATCCCAGGCAGAAAACTTAAGAGGCACGGGGAGGACTTCTGACAGTCTGTTGGGGGCCCATGTTGATGTACTCCCGAAGGTCTAGCAAGCTGCTGACGGCTGCAGACAGGAAGATGCTGCTGTCTGGTCAGGAAAGGGGCAGTGACCAGTCAAGACGCTAGACCTCTGTCCTGGGCTGTCACATGTAAGACAGAAGCCTGGGGAATGACTCTGAAGACATATGTCCTGTATGGATGCCCCAGGTCCTGAAGCAGCTGCCAAGGAAGGGAGGGAGAGCAAACACACAGGAGGAGCGACAGACAGAAATAAATGGCTGCCGGCACAAGGGGCACCAAGTTCTGTGTGTTCAAAGGATTGTTGGCCAAGAACACAGACAGGGAGGGATGGCTCAGCAGCCTTCACTTGGAAACACCCACCCCTGGGGCTCCCATGTGGGCACAGCACCTCTGAGCAAAGGAGATGCTCCCACACTCCCATGGCTGGGGATGGGGTGCTTGAGGCTGGTGGCAACTAGAACTGACTGGGGGTACCACACTGCTTAGGAGAATGACAACCACCCACTGTCTGTGAAGAGCAGGCAGATAAAATATGGGACAGTCAATACTCAATGGCTTGTATGTGCAAAATACTTTGGGAGGCTGACCTCTTGTTTCCACGGACTGTGTCCTACTCCTGTAACTTAAAAAGAGTCAACGAGAAAGATGTGACGTCATTATACCAAGTCCACTGTTCCTCATGGGCCGGACACAGGGACCTGGAAGCCAGGCAGCCCTGGGCTGGGAAAGGGATGGCAGCAGGGACAGAGCTGCTCTGGCTTAAAGGACACGGCAAGAGTCCATTCAGCTTCTGCCTTTTCCCTCATCCTTTTCCCACCAAAATCCCCTGGTCCCCCACCCCCCCAATCCAATACATTTATCAGCACAGATGTAGGGCAGGATAACAGGAAATCAAAGGCAAAGCGTTATATTTCGGATGTGAGAATAAACCACATGATCTTAACTGGGATGGTCTCTGTTAGATAAACTAGAAGGGTGTGGGACGGCCTGTTTCTGCAATTTAGCAACACAATGGCAGTGGGTCAAATTGCATCCCTGAAAAGGACAAGGTGAGCTCCTCACCCCCAGATCTGTGAACAGGACCTCATTCAGAAATAGGGTCTTTGCAGATGTGATCAAGATGAGGTCATACTGCAGTGAGGGGAGGGGGGGTGTCTAAATTCTGTGACTGGTACCCTTCTAAGGAGAACAGAGATACAAGGCAGACATTTGTGAAGATGGAGGAGGCTGGTGGTGGAGACAAGCAGAGAACACCAGGAGCCCCCAGAGCTGGACGAGGCCAAGGAGGATTCTCTCCTAGGGCTTGTAGGAGTCAGCCCTGCCGATGCCTTCATTTTGACCTTGTGGCCTCCAGAACTGTGAGGGTCCATTTCTGTTGTTTTAAACCAGCCCATTTGTGTGCTTTGTGATGGTGGTCACATGACACTAGTGACATCATTCCACACTCATCTGCTGAGGAACTACTGCGCAGGCCTGTGCTACTACATGAACAGTAGGCACTCAATACAGAGATACACTTGGGGGGTGATCACGCTGTAGTGGGGAGAAAATGGGCCGTGGAGGGACAAACCCTGGTTCCCTCCTTCAGGGCCGTGTGACTTTGAGGCCTGGAGACAGCAGGGACCTTCACTGTGTAGCACCCAGTGTCCACAGCACAGAGGCTGGGGCCTTGGGGAAGCGATGGTTTTCCCCCTTTTGTGGCTCCTAACTTGAAAGGTGACCCTACTCCTCCTCCTGACCCAACAAATGGCCTGTTATGTTGGGTCCACACTTCACCTCCCCGGCCTGGTCTTATCGGTGTCCTCTCTTGGCACCTCTGGTGCCTGGCAGAGCAGGTAAGCCTGATGCCCACTGGAGGAGGGTAGAAACACACGAGATGCCAAGTCCTGCGGGTCTGGGTGTTAAAACCAGCCCAGGTTCTGAGGACCACCCAGGGAGGGCACCCCAGGAATCCACTGCCCAGTCTGCACAGGTCTAGACTTCATGAATCAATGTGGGCTCAGGATTGTGCCTGCAAAAACGTCACCTGCCTAGGACCACGATCCCCAGAAGTCTCTCGTGGGCATCTGCATCCAAGGCTGCCTAGTTCTTCCACACTAGGACGTACAGGTGGTCTCCGAGTTTGGACTCTAATCTGGTAACAGGTTCACACTTTGATCAGGGAACTCGGGGCCATGGAGCACTAACAAGCACCCACCGAAGTTAAGATGACGCCTCGGAAGGTCTTGTCGTTCTCCAGTTTCTCCAGACTGATGACGAGCTCCGTCAGCAACTCTAGGCTGAGGCTGTTCACTGGGGGGTTCTTGAACTTCATCACAGCAATCCCTAGTGTGAAAGTGCAGAGAAAGCTCATGCCCAGCATTGGAAAAGGGCCCCTAGTTACCCTGCACCCACAACCTGGC